GATGTCCTTATTAGATGGATGTTTGTCTATTTTTTACATTAAAAATTTACTTATACATCTTTTTTATTTCGAAAAGCAAAATAATTAGTACCATATATACAAGAAAAGCAAACATATCACATATAAAATCTTTAAAGCAACTTGATTAATAAATATATGGTCCCAGATGAGATGGCATAGCTTTTAGAGCAGGTAATCAAGCTAAAATATTTGTGTCTCAATCAAGGTCCAAAAATTAAATGTCTTATCCTTCATTCAATGTCTTCCCAATATACTTTTATTGTCGTTGGAATTTTGTTGAGACTTTTCATTGCATTGCTTTCATGCATTCCATGATTTTTGGGTGAATTTTTTTTAATTTAAACAATGGACAAACTTTCATCTAATAGGGATACTCGTCTATTGAATATGGATAAGAGTCTATTATTATTTTCTCATAGATATGAGTCTGTTTAAAATGAATTACTGTTCAATAATCACGGACGTCCGTCCATATGTGATGGATGACTATTTATTCACAGAATATTTGTTAATATGCTACATGGTTACATCTACTTAGTTGACACGTCATTCAGTATAAAATTTCAGTACAGATCTTTGGTGTCCGTAACATTATTATTTTAAATATGATAAGATAGAAATACGAAACAAACACAACCATCCCCATACACCAAACAATAGCGTTATGTTTGCAAAACATTATAAAAAGACTCACATATAAAGTGATGTGATAACTGAGTTGATCCAAGCATATCATTTAAATTAAGCTTATTAAACTTATTATTATAATAACACAAAAATAATGTTAAATATATAAACTCTTTATGTTACACAAAATTAAATTAATAAATACTAATTAATATAAATAAAAAATTTATGTCAAATTTGTATAGGTAATTTGTATATTTAACATTGCTATTTTAAAAATAATTTATACTCTTTTAGTAATTTAACACAAAATCTATTTCTGGGATGAAATTTTTGATTGATTATAATATTCTATGGTAAATATTAAATAACAAACTAGTAAAGAATCAAAATCTAAATTTGAAACACAATAAACACCGCAGGAAGTTGGTCGGAATCTGGTATAATGGCGCACTACCGACTGGATTTGGCCAATAGTGCGCCGATCTAGCCTTTTCCAGCCAGATCCACCATGGATCTGGCTGGAAAAGGCCATATCAACGCACGACTAGCCAGATCCAGCCGGTCGTGCGCCGATACGGCAACTCCAGCCATCCTCTTGCAGTGGTGATTGGCTGTCGATATTTAATGGCTGGGTGGTGGAGGTGTTTTTGTTAATTTTTAATATTTTATTATGGGGGTGTTTAGTAAATAAACAAACTTAGGAGGATATTTTTATTAATTTTTAAATCTTACACCGTAATAACCACCCAATTTTACTTTTTTCAAAATATTATTGTACAAAGTATCAGAATAATGAATCAAGTGCATGCTTATCTATTTCAGCTATAGTTACCTGAGTGGTATTACAAAATATATATATATATATATATTTTTTTTTTTTTTTTCTATTTCAATAATTACATTATAAAATTGGAATTGAAATCACAATCTTAAGTCTCAACCAATACGATCGTTGATATATCAACACTATATTAATAGTAAACAATATAAGAATATGTGTAATAATGTTGTGTCTCCTATAATTAATATGATATTAACACGTAAACAGTCACAACAATTATAATCTCAACTTGGTATATACTCTCTCTCTCTCTCTCTCTATATATATATATATATTTTTTTTTTTCTATATTTCTTTTATAAATAAAAGTAAATTAAATAATTAACTTTTTTTAATAAAATTAACATGTGATATAATAAGGGATGGCAATTTTTCATGTGAGATGGGTTTAACTTGTTCTCACCTTATTTTGAGTGTATTCGCATATGTTTATGAATGAGTATTTAAGTTTTTCTTAAATCTTTAAATCAACAAATATACCTAACAATTTGACTACATGTGTCAAAGTGTTGAATATGTTATTTTCCACGTTTGTTACTTACTCCAAGCTACAAAAGAGGAATTGTTATATTCATTATAAGAAAATTATAAACTATCCTTAAAGTTTGCAAAATATATTACTAATACCTATTTATCTTATTAAATGGACCATTTGCTCGAATTGACAAGATCGCGCAATCAATCAATTCAAAGAAGATTCATTACTGGCAAGGGCCGCTCGAGTGGGTTTCGGCAGTGTAAGTGTGTAACCCCAATGCTTAAGTTCGGCACTAATACAAAAGAATAATACTACACTAATGACTCTTTTTCATAAATTTTCTTTCACAATCCTGATATGATAGTTCGTAATTGATCAACTTACAATTTATTAGTAGGATCCATTGAGACCCGTTGTGAACTGATCAATTATAAACTGTCATATCAGGATTGCGAGATAAAATTTGTGAGAGAGGTTGTTGGTGTAGTATTAATCAAAACAAAAACAACATAAAAAGAGGTTTTATGCATAATATTATGACCATACCTTAAACTACCCATTTCAAGGATTCATATAGGTTTTTATTATATATAATTAGGAGTGTCCTCGTGCATCTCAATTAATCCTCGGAACCCTCAAACTAATGGTCGGATAAGAACTCTAATAATCACCTTTATTAGCAGTCGTAAATACATATACTAATCCCTTAAGACTCTGGAACTACTGATCTGATAAGAGCTTCAGTGACCACCCTAATTAGCAGTCGTGGGACTTGAACTCCGGAGACTATGTTAGATCCTTCTTTTGTTCTTTTATAATCAAGGAGACTCAAACTTGGAAGACTATATTAGATATTCCTTTGCTATTTTATCATCAAACTACCTACTGAGGGTTGATTCATATAGTTAATGTCAATAGACATTTCAAGGCTGCATGTCATATTTTGGAGGCGAAATGGTGCCTAAGGTGGTGGTTGGTGCTTATTTTGAAGATTGATTGGTCAAAAGTGATGAACAAGTTAATCTCCCATAAGTTTCTTTGAGAAAAAGACAAGCTCATCATAGGATATTATAATGGGTGTGTTTGTTTAAATTATTTTGAGTAATATTTTTGAAAAAAGTTGAGTTGGGTTATTATTAGGAGAATAAAATTTGAATTTGAAAATGTGTTTAGTAAGATTTCTTTTAATCCCTTATATTTGTTAATTTAGTTAAACACCACTTACAATAAAAGTTTTAAAATTAATAAAAATACCCCCACCAACCCATTAAATATCGGCAGCCAGCCATCACCGTCGGAGAGTGGCTAGAAATCGTTGGAATGGCACATGACCGGTTGGTTGGGGGCGTTTAGTAAAATTAACAAACCTAGGGGGTTAAAAAAATCTAAATATTTTGAGTTAAATAGAATATGATTGAATTTTAAGAATAGCGAAACAAACATGTATTTTGAATACAATAATGTTATGGACACTGAAGACTTGCACCAGAATTTTACACTGAATGACGTGTCAACTGAGTCGACACAGCCACGTAGCATATTAACAAATATTATGGACGGACGTTCGTGATTATTGGACGACCGTTTATTTTAAATGGACTCCCATCCATGAGAAAATAACAATGAACTCTCATCCATATGAGTCTATTTACTATAGATGGACGTTTACCTAGAATGGACGTTTGTCCATTGTTTAAAATAAAAAAATTTTAAAACAAAAATCATGGATGTCTATCTATATATTATGGATGGGCATCCATATTTAATAGACGGATGTCCTTATTAGATGGATGTTTGTCTATTTTTTACATTAAAAATTTACTTATACATCTTTTTTATTTCGAAAAGCAAAATAATTAGTACCATATATACAAGAAAAGCAAACATATCACATATAAAATCTTTAAAGCAACTTGATTAATAAATATATGGTCCCAGATGAGATGGCATAGCTTTTAGAGCAGGTAATCAAGCTAAAATATTTGTGTCTCAATCAAGGTCCAAAAATTAAATGTCTTATCCTTCATTCAATGTCTTCCCAATATACTTTTATTGTCGTTGGAATTTTGTTGAGACTTTTCATTGCATTGCTTTCATGCATTCCATGATTTTTGGGTGAATTTTTTTTAATTTAAACAATGGACAAACTTTCATCTAATAGGGATACTCGTCTATTGAATATGGATAAGAGTCTATTATTATTTTCTCATAGATATGAGTCTGTTTAAAATGAATTACTGTTCAATAATCACGGACGTCCGTCCATATGTGATGGATGACTATTTATTCACAGAATATTTGTTAATATGCTACATGGTTACATCTACTTAGTTGACACGTCATTCAGTATAAAATTTCAGTACAGATCTTTGGTGTCCGTAACATTATTATTTTAAATATGATAAGATAGAAATACGAAACAAACACAACCATCCCCATACACCAAACAATAGCGTTATGTTTGCAAAACATTATAAAAAGACTCACATATAAAGTGATGTGATAACTGAGTTGATCCAAGCATATCATTTAAATTAAGCTTATTAAACTTATTATTATAATAACACAAAAATAATGTTAAATATATAAACTCTTTATGTTACACAAAATTAAATTAATAAATACTAATTAATATAAATAAAAAATTTATGTCAAATTTGTATAGGTAATTTGTATATTTAACATTGCTATTTTAAAAATAATTTATACTCTTTTAGTAATTTAACACAAAATCTATTTCTGGGATGAAATTTTTGATTGATTATAATATTCTATGGTAAATATTAAATAACAAACTAGTAAAGAATCAAAATCTAAATTTGAAACACAATAAACAGGTGTATAAAGAACGAGCTTAAATGAGTGAAAATTAGCGTGCGCTCGATTCAAGTGCCAGTAGTTTTTTTTTTTTGTTTCTCGCCAACCCTAAAGGGCCTAAACCCACACCCAGAACAGTGGGCCTAATTGGGCTGCCACAGGGCCTTTTAGTTCACGGAGTGAGAGATAATGTAGAGCGGGGATTTTTTTGTTCATTTCTGAAACCTGTTTCATCGCAGTTGCAATGATTTAGAGAATTAGAGTTGAGGAACGATTGAGATTCGATCCACAGACAAACAGCTAATGGCAGCTGTAAGTTTATCGTCTGAAATCATTATAATCACCTTCTCTATCAAGTTTTTCTCATCACTGATTGACTATTTCTTTATTGTTTCAGTTTTCAATTGCCTGCGGAGAGTCCTCATCACCGTTACACATTCTTATCTTTCGATTGTGGAATCAAACCATCGACTCCATCAAGCTCAATGTTGCTAACTTACTCTTTACCTCAAGGTACTTCTTTCTGTTAATTTTTTTTTTTTTTTTTTTTCATATAACTATTTTGAGTATATTCTGCTAATTTGTGAATGTGCTCTGTGAAGGATTCGGGCCGATGATGATATAAAGCCCTGTAGTTTCAAAAATATTTTGGGTGTTGTTAGTGATCAGTGTCAGTTGAGAACTGAAGACTGGTTTTCGAATAAGAAGAATTCTGAAAATGAAGGAGATCCACGGGCAGTATTCAATGTATTGGATTCAATTTTGAAGGAGAACTTGGATCGTCTGAAAATGATGAGGTCAGCTTTTTATTTTGTGCCAAGTTGTAATGCTTATAATGGATGGCATTGTTTGATTACTTCTGAAAAAAACCAAGTTATTCATGCTATTATCTTCAATTCGGGATTTGTGTTATGCATCATAAGCTTTTGAAGTTACAATTGGTTTTGTTTCTGTGTTTGAAAATGGAGTTTTTTATCTTTTGTTCTACCGTGAGGGAGTGAGTGTTATATAATCTTTTGGTAAATTATGTTGAGTATTTCAGGAGTGTTATTATTAGCTGTTTATTATTTGTTTTAGAAATTACAGAATGTAGAATTTATATCATTTTATTCACTTTGAAATTTTGTAGGGAGAGCATATCTTTGGCAAGGGTTGGTCTCATGGGTTGTACCTCGGAAACTGACTACAGAGGACATGTAGCTGTAATTAGGGATTTGTGTTTGGGAGGGAAGTTGGGTGTGGCTTTATGGCTGCGGAGTAAAATGATACAGAAAGGTATTGTCCCTGACGTGCTTACACATAATTATCTTGTTAATGGACTGTGCAAAACTGGTGACATGCAGAAAGCGGACTGTGTTATTAGGGAGATGGTAGAAATAGGTCCCACTCCCAACTGTGTGACTTACAATGCTTTTATTAAGGGCTACTGCGATATTGATGATGTGGATAAAGCTCTTCATCTTCTCTCCACTATGGTAAGTACTGGCATCAGGCCAAATAGAGTTACTTGTAACATACTTGTACATGCACTGTGCAAGAAAGGTCTTGTAGGTGTTGGCACGAAGCTTCTTGGAGAGATATTAGCAGATGACGAGGGCAAGGAAACCTCTGATGTAATTACATCAACTATACTTATGGATAGCTGTTTTAAGAGTGGAGATACGATTAATGCTCTTGATGTTTGGGAAGATATATTTCACATGAATACCCAAATGGATCTTGTAGCGTATAATGTCCTTATAAATGGGTTTTGTTTGAGTAGAGACATGAACTTTGCATACAAGTATTTTTGTCAAATGCTTAAGAGGGGTACACTTCCAGACATTTTTACTTACAATACTCTTCTAGGTGGTCTTTGTAAACAAGGGAAATTAGATGAGGCTTGTTACGTTTATGATGTCATGTTAAGAGCTGGAGTTGCTCCAGATCAGATCTCGTACAAAATGATTGTTCAAGGCTTTTGTGCTCATGGAGATGTTGTTAAAGCTAGTGAATTTCTTCTTCATATGTTAGAGAAGTCAATTGTGCCCGAGCCTCATATATGGAACCTAATAATTGATGGTTATGGAAGATGTGGATATCTTGATCGTGCATTTTCTGTTAGAGATCTGATGTTGTCTTTTGGTGTCGCACCAAATGTTTTTACCTTTAATGCATTAATTTATGCAAAAATAAAAGGAGGAAACATTTTTGATGCCTTTTCTCTTAAAAAGGAGATGCTTTTAAATAACATTTTTCCTGATGTGGTCACTTATAATTTGTTAATAGGTGCTTCATGCAATATGGGGCAAATTCATTTTGCACTTCAATTTTATCATGAAATGCTGATGTTAGGATATGAGCCTGATCTGATAACATATACTGAATTAATTAGAGGTCAATGCATGAAGGGTAATGTGAAGGAGGCGGAAGAGCTTTTTGCCAAGTTACAGAAATCTGGTTTACATATAGATCATGTACCGTTTCAGATACTTATTATGACATACTGCAAAATGAGGAAACCAGACATGGTGTATTACCTCTATCAGAAGTGGTTGGCAAGGGATGAAAGAGTTTCTCCACTTTAATGAACTACAATTATATGGAGTTAGTGGTTGTTAAAAACAAGGCCTCTGGCATGAGTCAGTTTATATTTCTCAACATGAATGAACTTATTTCAATTGTGATAGTTTTCTGCTCGTGGGAGGCATGAATGCTCTTCTTAGAGGTATGTGTATTTGCTAACCTTATGTTAAATGTCTGTGGTGCGCTGAAATTTTCTTTATTTATTAATTGGTCCTTAGAGCTAATTTTATCATTCATAGAAAAATTAGATATAGATGTCCTCATGCAATATAGGTATTTTGGAGGTTTTTTTTGGTATAATTATCATTGTGTGATTTATAGCTTGTACTTTGAAAAGGCTGTAACAATCCTATCTCTTAAGGCAAATCCATTTTTTGTTCTTTAGTTGGCTTGAATAGGTGGAGAAGATTACTTACAACTACCAATTATCATTCTGAGATTAGTTTCTTTCATGAATGTTTGAGGAGTAAAGGTTAGATATTTTCATATAATCTATTCTTTAACATGCCTTTGTTCACTTCTGCTATATTTCTGTATTAGATAAGAGTTCTTCTTTCGATAGTTCTGTTGAGAGAGTTGGCCTGTTTTGTTTTGAATCTTTTTATTTGACTTCAATTATAAGTTTATTGAGTTACTTGTGAACCAGAACAGAGTGTATTATGGAAGGAAAAATATATGCTAGGTAATAGCATCAGGAATTGTTTAAATATTTGAGATGCTAGAGGAAGCTCAGAAAATTATCCTGAGTTCAATGTTTTTCAATTTCTTTTAAGCTGTCTTAAAAGGCCTTCTGCAGTGTCACCAACTAGTTTCAGAGTCTAGCAAATTCCAGGCACCACTAAATTCTCATCTATTATATTTGCAATATATATCTCTGTTGTTGATGTTACGTATATATATTTGGTGTTATGTCTACCCAGATATTATTGGCTTATGGTGGGACTGAGTTTTATGTATTCCTGTCCTTTCATGCTTCAAGATAATGTTTTTTCATGGTTGGCATCTTTCTGGCATTTGCAAAATGGTTCCCGTTTCCACTTGTGTCGCTTTTTTCTTTCATACTTCCATTGTACTCTTCTTCCATATATTATCTACCATAAAAAAATTCAACACATGAGATTGCAATTGGTTCTTTTTGACCACAGGTGCAGGAAGATGATCTGGACCATACCAGAACATATCCCAGTCAATTAGATGAATGGTGGGGCAACCGGCCTTGAGTTTGCTCATTCATTTGGAAAATTGTTTGATCTTAATTTCCAAGTATTGACATTGATAATGAACAATTGTAAACTTGTTCTTCATGTGTGTCACTACGTGGTTCAGGATGATGGGATACAACCTGTGTTTCAACCACTGATTTGATATGTTCAAGGTATCCATCTTTTAGTTTACAATGAGTTGCTTTGGGTGAGTATCTTAGATATTGAGATTATTTATGTTCTGATTCATGATTTGAATTGGTTGGTTTAACAGAGTTGTTACCATTGGGCTGAAACCATGAAAAAGGTCCAATGGGTTTGCCAGCGTTGCCTTTGACAAGTTAGGGCCGTGGTTTTTTCTTGTGATCCTTGTGTGGTGGAAATCTTGAGCGGGTGGAAGATAAGCAAGAGAAGTAGGGTCCAAATACGCACCTTGGGCAAAAAACTGCTGAGCACAGAAAGAAGAATTTCACAGTATGCCCTTGAGTTTAAAGCTCTGAAAGGTAGAAAATATAAGAAACATAATTTTTTCTTTTTTCTTTTTTTTGGCAGTATAAAATAAGCTGTAGTAATTGCAAAATTATGCATGATCTTAATTCATGTGAATTTACTTTGTTTTGTATTATCTCATTCAAAGGTGGCAGCTTTCAAAATACTGGAGCTTTGTTAGAGAATAAATGATAAGACTGGGATTCACCAAGTGGATGGAGATGATTCATTGACCATTCCAACGTCTTACTAGATTCAAGAATGATCTGAAGCCAAACAAACAGTTGTAGAAGCAGAAGAAATATTACCTTTTGATTGAGAAAAACCCATAACAATACTCTCTAGTCTCTAATTTCTCACTTGCTTGAAATTGGAGAGGTAATTTTGCCTTTTGCAAATTTACACAGTAAATATAATGTGGAGATCACTTTTATAGGAATTTTTATATATGTGGGTCAAAATTACAAAGACAGATAATAGTTTTTGAGTTATTAATAATAATTAATTAGAACATTAGCGTATAACTATATATTTAAAACTCCTCGTTTTGAAGGTCAGAAATATTTACCTTTCGTTGCATGATAAATTTGACATAATACACTATATATTTAATTATCATCTTGCAGGGAAATAAAAAAGCATTTACTATTTAGTGCTGGTGGGCATGCAGAGTTGAGGATCGTCAACTGCGAATACATTATGCTTCGGCCGATTTTTCTGTGCAGTTTATATGTTAATTGAACATGTTTAAGGATGACATTTGCACAGAAGAAATGTTTACAAAAATATACAAATAATATCACAAGATTCGATCGGACAGGTGTTTGCGATGCCTCAATCAGAAAAGTTTAAAAGTACGTACTGAGCTATTTTCTCTGTAATTATGAAACACAGAAACAGCTTGAAGATTATTAACCAATTTTATCTCTGGAGAAACTGTTGAAGACAATATTGTTGGCACTCGTAAGTATCACTTTTGATATATATAAATATCGACTCTTTCGTTTTATACATTTATTTTATCAGTAGCAAATTTTTTTTTTTTTTTTAGTTTATTCAACTTTTTTATATCAATAAAAATATTTTGTCCTGAATTTTGATGAATTAGATAAGAGAAGGTCTATGGGAGTCTTGAACAATGCTTGGTTCGCACATTATGAGAAGAACAATTAACTGTGTTATGCCTATAAAATCACGGTTTACGTAAGCTGATGCCAACAAGTACCGATCAGAGTACAGGAAGATTTTGTGCCGTCCAGAGTCTGTCGCGTTGCCCAAGACAGAAAGAATATAGCTATCAATAACCTAACTGACTCAAGTTTTTTCTGTGAATGAATTTGGTTCGCATACTTGTCCAAACCCTATTTAATTTAAAGATATTTCTTGAGTTTTCAAGCAATGGGAAGATAGAAGAGATTTGCATGACACTTACCTACTTGCAAATATGTAATAATTACCTTGAGCTCAGTAGGTAACATAAGCAATTCCCTTCTCAAATTCAAAAAAAAAAAAAAAAAAAAAAAAAAAAAGCAAAGACACATTACGTGAAAGAGACGAGCTTGATATATCTAAAAAAACTTAGAACACCAAACACCTGTAACCCAAATCACAGTCGTAACCTCTTGTAATCTTGGCTAATAACAGGAATTCACTACTATATAAAAAAACAGTGGATGTAGAATTCGTTTAAGCATCCGAACCACTATAAACCTTATTGTCTATTACTTTAATCCTTGTTTTTATTGTGAGAACAATACTTATTTAACTCTTATAATCATCCACGTGTAATTCTAAGACTTTCTTAACATTTTACACGTGCAAGTTCGTTGATATCAAAATCCAGCATCAATAAACAGTGATTTCTATAAGGTAAATTGGGAGTTTACATTAATCAATTAATTTGATCTATGCAGATTGTTCTCAATGTATTAACGATCCCTTTTACGCAAAACTCTGTTGTAGGGCGCAAGAACAAGGTTATTGGACAGAGACAAAAATCCCCAGGTACATTGAAGGAGAAATTATGTAGTACTTCGGTTGTGATGTTACATAATTTTTTTAGAAAAATATTATTTGTTTCTAGATGCTTGAACTTATACCATACGTACCCATCTTTCTCACAGTGGGAGCCTTCAAAAACGAGCTTGTGAAGAAATGATAGATGCGTTTCACTTTCACCACGCTGGAATGATGAAGTCGGAGAACTGATACAACTCTCCTGCTGCATTCCCTTGGATCTATGAATTCAATACGTCAACTTGGTCTACCAAATTCATCCAGGCTTGGGATAATATTTTTGACAAAATAAAACTCACTATCACAAACTAGAAAACAATTTTACGCTGTATACTTCACTTACAGATGGATCCACATCATAAATTTTCATGAAAATCCAGGATAAAAATTCATACCCAACTGTGGTAAAAAACTGAAATAAAATAATGTAAAGTATACATCTCTGTAGAGCTTCCATGATCAAATAACAAAAATACATGGCCAATCGACCACTCAAACATTTCAAAAGGCAAATGATTCACAATAAGAGTACTTCTGACTTCTGATGGTAAACTGAGTAACCAACTACAATTCTACTACTTTACCAAGCTAAACATCTTGAATGACTGAACCTGGGCATATCATTTTCATTGTATTATGAAGTTGGTACAATGCGTCTGAAAACTGCTTGGAATGTCTGTCCTCCATTCCGAGCAACCTTTTGTCCTTCCTCGGTTGCACAACTCAAGAGCTTTACCACTGGATCTGCTTCAAGCTCTTCCTCCGTAAGTGGTTCAAACATTGGATGACTTTCTAAACAAGACTTCATCCAGTCCCCTAGCTCCTCCACATCTGTAATTGTGTATATAATCCCTCCAATGCCAAGAACATAAGCATACTCATCTAACAAATGTGGACTGATCACTCTACGACGATGATTCTTCTCCTTAAAGTGAGGGTCAGGGAACAAGAAAAACATCTTTGTAAGTTGTCCTTTCTCAAAGTAATTCGGAATGTACTTCATGGAATTAGTTCGAACCACTGAGATATTTTGGTATTGACCTGGATTTGACACCCTCAAAGCAGAAATTCGTTCTTTGACATATTCTGACACTTTATCCCTGAGTTCCATTCCAATCATTAGGGTTTCAGGAAAAAGGGTTGAAAGACTAATTAAAAGCCCACCAAAACCACAACCAATATCCGCAAACTGGATCTTTTTTGAATTATTCATTTGATCAGATGAGGGAAAGAAGTGAGGATAATGAAGGGAATATTCAACATGAGAAGGGGAGACTGGAACAGGGAAGTGAGAATCGCTTAGTGGGTTGCTGTGCGCTCGAGCTCGATAGAATCGCTTTCGAGGTAAGCCAGTTGACTTATTAAAATTTGGGTTTGTTGGGTTTGTTTCCTTCTCCAACATAACTTCGTTCTGCAAGCTACATAACCTTAACAAGTTACAATGCATAGAACAAGATGCTTATATTGAATGAAACATAAATATAAATGTTAAAGAAATCAACACAAACTTATTGACAAATCAGAGAATAAATCAATCAAATCCATACTGAGAATTGATATATATATATATATATATATAAATCCAACATTCTGTCAATATATCAAAACACCTCTAACAAACATTTCGACTAAATCACAGTCTCATAGAAATTAGAACAAACTAACCACCTAAAAAGAGGAAATTTTTAACGATGGAAAGAAATGCACACCTAATAATTTAATGATTTTCTCAATTTGTTGCTCCTGATGAAGATGCAGGAGGCTGGAGCTTTCGTGCAAGTCCGGTTAGCTGTTGGGATGGGATCACCGAGAGCGCGGTTAGGGTTCGTTTTTAGGTTATTTGGTTCTTGGGTCATTGGGCTATTTGGATCCCGCTAAGTGGGCCTTTACTATAGCCCATTATGAGCCCAAATAAGGTTATGTGTCTAATTTTAATTTTAAATTAGAAGAACAGAAGAAAGCCTTTTTCCTTTTTGAAAGTTTTTTTTTTTTTTTTTTCTATTTGTTTTTTGTGAAAGCCTCAATATGTCTCTCATGGCATCTCCAACCCAACGCTATTTTGGTGTAAAAACACCAAAATAGAATCCAATCCAACACCAAACATTGCACCAATAGTGTCAATGTACAGTGCCACGCCAAATTTGGTGTAGCAATGTTCATGCACATCAATTTGCGGGGCACTGTCAAACAGTATAGTTTTTTTTTTTTTTTATTTGTATTTAGGTTAATTTGATTATTTTATCAATATTATAATAATAAATTCATAATAATTATATATTAAAAAATGATGAAAATTAAAAACAAACTTATTCAATGCAAATATTTAACTACAATAACTCAAAATAAAAATTAACACTAATTTAAAAACACTAAAATTAAAAGAAAATATAACATAAACTAAAATAACAATTTAGTATTCTGGTAGATTAGTTTCGGATCCTCTAAGTCATCAAATGTTTTTTTTTTTTTTTTTTGTATCATTTTATATTAGATATAATGTTTTTTCTATATTATATGTAATGTTTATTTGATTAAATAAATGCTTAATTTTATTAAATTAGTATAATTTTTAAAATAATTATTATTTAATAAAAATATTATTACCAAAATTTAATTAATATATACAAAAATAAAGAGTAAAATAGATTAATTATTGATTATTACAATAAAAGAAAAAGAAAGAGAATATTCTAAGAAATATTTTTTTTAGTATAATATTTGATGCAATGGGTTGGAGATGTAATAGTGTTTCACACAAAAAATTACACCAATTTGGTGCAATGGGTTGGAGATGGTCTTACTTGAAAGTATGAGACTAATTTTCAATCAGGACTCCTGTAAATACCCTTGACCACGAGTTGTTTCTAGTGAGATTTGAATCCCTAGCATTACTTGGGAGTCTGTTACCAGTTGGATCACAGCTCGTGGTTAAAATTTCTTCCGACGGTTTTGGGATTCAAACCCACAACCTCCAAATAAAGAGGTTAACCATACCCAATTAATTAAAAGGGGGAGTTTCTTTCACATCTTCGATTATAATTTTAATTTTAAAATCCCTGAAAAAACAACATAAATGTATAAGTTTTTTCACCAAATTTTATTGGTTTCATAGAACATTAATTAATTCCCAATGCATTTCCTAAACATTAATTTTGACAACAAAACTGTGCCAATAGGTCAAAAATTAGCAAGTTACTGATCTCAGTACTCAAAACTATAGCAAGAAATATAATACAAAAATGGTACGTTGTGTCCTATAAAGACTCCACAAAATCTAACATTATATATGTTAATTTCTTGCTTAAGTCATTCTAAAATCAGAAAAAAAATGATCTTAAAATGGTTCTTCGATGTTATTAGATGACCTGAAGATACTCCAATTGCCGATACAGCTTACACTGTAAGTTGTACTTAGATTATGGAATGGAATAATCTTAATTCCAACCTAACTTAATGAAGTATAGTGTGTTTAGAAAATAAAATAAATGAAAGAAATAAACTCGTACATACATACATCTCTCTAATCAATATATATTTCAATTAATTTATTTAATCATGTTCATGCATGCAACTACTCTGTTGAATATTTTGCATCCCTTTTGGGAGCAAAAATCATGCCAGCACTCTTCTTCTTCCCGATCAATTTCTTGTATCATTATACCAACAACTATATCTTTATTTGAATGCATAACTTAATCAATCAGTGTGTTATTGGTAGTTCTTACTGGAGAGACGTAAACTATGAGATTAAACATCTGTCCTAATTTTTTTAAGTTTTGAAGTGCTTGACAAGTAGCATACCAAGCTTGAATCAACCACTGATTTAGGGTTTTCCATCTTTTCTAGAGAGTCTTTCTTGATTAATACCTATCAACTACTTTACCATTGATGTCGAGAAGTCGTCGCTAAATTATTTTCAAAAGGGTGACTCCGGAAAATTTGATATGATATCCTAAAACCGTGTTCGTGAAGCAATGTAGTGTATAATAATATTATTTTTTAGTGGTTATGGCGATGAACACGTAATCTTATTTAAGTATATAATTATAACAAGATGATTTTTAACGAGAGGATACACTTATATATGTATATAATTTTTCTATGATCGAACATATGAAAAGGATATTAACAAGATTGATGAAATAACCTTTCAACAAATATATATGCTAACATCATATTAGCTGTGTATTTAGTCTTAATATAAGCTTCATGCAATGAACTGATTTGGGCATGGTTCACAAGTTAGCTAGCTAATTAATTGTATTCACATACCATAAGTGCATAGAAAATCTTTTTTTTCAAACTTTGAGGAAGCTAAAAAAGAATGTTTCAAGCTTTATAAAAACCCTAAAATACTTTCAGTAGTTTTGGGTTGAAGGTATTGAATTAGAGAATTCAACAGATTCATTCAAACTAAAATGTTTTGCTGTCTTCTGTTCTAACGCGTTTGCCCTTGATTTCTTTATGTTTTGATAGTCATATATACTGATAAACGTCTGCAAAACTTCATAATTGATCTTGACATAAATAAAAATAAAAATGGTTAACTCTCCCTCAGAAGAGGTGTTGAATACAACTCGTTACAGTTGTTGTATTGAAGAAGAGATTAAGCTTACTGGTAATTGGCTAAACGGTATTCATGCAGCTATGCACGCCACCTCAAATTAGATTTTCTTTGTAATCTTATGTATTTTGCACGTTCTTTGCAGATTAATAATTGATTCATAGAACAATAACTCCTTCAGCGACTAAAAATTCTATGAACTGTATATAATTTGTTGATGAGGGAGATCTTAATTTTCCAGGACAAAATTTAATTCTTATCATATTAATGGTAGTCTATGTTATTACCAATTCATATATAGAGACATAAACATTATGTTCTTCTCTTCAAATGCATATATCTGCAGGCTTTTTAATCTATCTTAAAATTTATAAATCACATCAAAACCAGCAACTCCGCGACCTCTCAATATGTTTTGCTGAATGATAAACCAGTCAATCACGTATAATTAATAATTCGTCTGCAAAGGTTAGGTGGCTTTGGGATAACAGGTAGGGGTGATCATGACTCTTCTGTATATCATATTTTGAAGTGTTTAATAAGTAAAGAAAGGATTGTGATTGATGGTTTAGTGCTGCCTTTTGTTTAATTCCCAGAAGTCTTATTGCTGATCAATAATGCAAATTCAGACCTCTCAATCTTTACAAAATCATAACTAACACCCACATAAAAAGGGATCATCACAAACAAAACGAAAGGTGTGTTTCAATTACAATGCACTTCCCGACGAATCAACTTCATTAACACGTAAAGTGACTTGTTCATTTAGAAAATGCAGATTAGTTATTAAACGTATTATACGTAGTTTTTAATAGAAAATCAAGTTTGAAGAAAATTGGGATGTCATACTGCCATCATCACTCAAAAGACCAACGTGAAAATTGAATGATCCAATTGCAAGTCCAAGTTCTAATTATCTAGATGAATTTCACTTATCAGACACATGGATCAGCTGGTAGATTTCGTGAAGTACATATTGTATGAGTTGTCTGATTCCTAGACGAAGAATCCAAGAAGGAAGCAACGGAAACGGAGAAATTAGAGGAAATTAAGAACTGCATCGAGAAAGGGATGTATACCTTTCAGAAAATCTGAATTGAAGCTTCTGTTATGCCGTGACTTAGTGGTTAATTAGAAGTTTAACTGATGATGATCAAACAGTACTAGGGCATTATGAAGCAAAATTTTTACTTCTTTCTGAGCATAACTCAATAGAAAGTAATGCTTGCTTTATCTCAAGAAATATAAGTTCATTATAATCATATGCATGAAAAGTAGAACTGTTTTGCTTGTAATGAATTAGTAACTTAGTTAGCTACTAGCACTGATTATTTATATAATGAAAAATGGTGTGCTTGTAGTTGTTATTGTCTTAGTTCATTTTGCATCTTAGTACATATTAAAAAATCCTGCGAAAACCTTATTATGATCATAATATAACATGAGCTAATTGTGTTCCCACCCCACAAATTGACTGAACCCACGAGTGTTAACTTTATAATTAGGCAGTAACAATGTTCTTCTGAAGTTATGAAACGGATTCAGATGTGTGTGTATATGNATATGCATGAAAAGTAGAACTGTTTAGCTTGTAATGAATTAGTAATTTAGTTAGCTACTAGCACTGATTATTTATATAATGAAAAATGGTGTGCTTGTAGTTGTTATTGTCTTAGTTCATTTTGCATCTTAGTACATATTAAAAAATCCTGCGAAAACCTTATTATGATCATAATATAACATGAGCTAATTGTGTTCCCACCCCACAAATTGACTGAACCCACCAGTGTTAACTTTATAATTAGGCAGTAACAATGTTCTTCTGAAGTTATGAAACGGATTCAGATGTGTGTGTATATGCAGTTTAATCAGAGAAAAGATAATAGAAAAGGCCGTTCACTTATTTCACCATGCAATGCTCCATTTGCGTTTTGCAAATTACAATTAGCTAATCTTACAAGATTTACAAAAAGGGCATATGTGTGCATGATAAGGCATTATTTATAAGCCTTCTAAAAGTGCAGATGGTTGTGCAATTTCTTGTGTGGCGGGAAGCAGGAAAATTAAGAAATGTATATCAGTACACTGCTCATGGTCAAACAAGAAAGTACCAAATGTTATGATTGTGAAACAAGAAGCCTTTAGAGGATGGTGATAAGAGAAAAATGGAGAGCAAGTTATTGCATAAACTGGAAAGTTTCAGATTTTGCTAAAAGTCAAAAGCCCGTGGTTGAATATACGAAATCTCCTTTCTAGAGTTACTCTTAGAAGCACTCCTTCAGCTTTTATGATTTTTGTATTAAGAGGACAGTGTTAAATTCCGTGGTTGAATATACGAAATATCATCTGATTGAGAGGATAATCAACTGAACTGATTATCGACCAGACGACCATCCGTTTATATTAATAATGTAGCGCATGGCAGACTTGTGTGTGTATATATAGTTTAATTAGAGATGTTATGCCTAAAAAAACTCACTGATGTCAGTACCAACCAATTAGAGTTCAGAAAGGCTTTATGTTATTTAGGAGCTGCCACATCACCCCAAGACAGAAGGGATATTGTTGTTATCAATCCAGCAGATTCAAGTTTTGTTTATGACTGAACGAGGACTGCACACTTGTCCCAACTTATCAAAATAAGAGATAAGGATTAACGAGTGGTCTCCACGTATCATGACAACTTGCAGAAACACTTATTACATTGACCTAAAAGGTGTATAAATAAGCACATCTCTTCACAAAAAGAGGAGGTTGGGCATATGAGAGCTAAACATAGTTTGAGCTTCATTATTTCTCTCTGTAAAGCAAAATATTTTTTCATCTTTGTATATCTTACGGGCAATATCATAAAAATAGTCAGAGAATAATAAAATAACGGTGGATTTATGATTTGCTTTAAGTATCTGAACCACTATAAAAACCTCTCTTATCAGTCTACTATTTATGTTTTTGCAACATATATAGTCTCAGTACCATATTCAAATCTCATGGATCGATCACGTATAATTTCTAAGACTCCCTTAGTACTTTGCATGTGCGAGTTGTTGGTATCCAAAATTAAACATCAACAAGAAGAGAAAAGTTAATAGAAAAGTCTGTTCACTTATTTTACCATGCAATGTTCCATTTGCGTTTTGCAAATTACAATTAGCTAATCCTACAAGATCTATAAGAAGGGCATCTAAAAGTGCAGATGGTTGTGCAATTTCTTGTGTGGCGGCAGGCAGGAAAATTAAGAAATGTATATGAGTACACTGCTCATAGTCAAGCAAGAAAGTACCAAATGTTATGATTATGAAACAAGAAGCCTTTAGAGGATGGTGATAAGAGAAAAATGGAGAGCAAGTTATTGCATAAACTGGAAATTAAGTTTCAGATTTTGCTAAAAGTCAAAAGCCCGTGGTTGAATATATGTACGAAATCTCCTTTCTAGAGTTACTCTTAAAAGTACTCTTTCAGCTTTTATGATTTTTGTATTAAGAGGACAGTGTTAAATCCCGTGGTTGAATACACGAAATATCATTTGATTGAGAGGATAATCAACTGAACTGATTATCGACCAGACGACCATCCCTTTATATTAATAATGTAGCGCATGGCAGACTTCATGATTTTGCCCCATTTAAGTGTAATTTTTGGCATCTCTCTATTCCTATTAATTCATACTTCAACAGATAGAGGATGACAATACTGATGCTGCAGGCACGATGAGTCATAAGTTGGAGCATCAGTCTTTAAAAATCAATTCTTCATATTAAGTCAGGCCTCTGGCACTGTGACTGTGAGAAGAAGGAACCGAAATAATGATTAATGAACACGTGCAAATGAAACAAGAGAAAACAAAGAGGAAGGGAATCCAGGAAAGTGGTCATCGCTTTCCCTGGAAACAATCAATAAAATATGATGGTGGTTGGCGGCCCAGGGAACCTCATGCGCTGCCTTCTGCCCGCCCATTTTTACTTTTTCTTTAGTCTTACCATTTCAAAGGCTCCTACAAGATTTGATCCATTTACATGGCAGAAAATTATTGGGTTAATGGACTAAATATTCAAAGAAGAGAATTAGGCCCACCCTCACGTGCTCGTTAGTTGAAAGGTGCTAGGGTCTGAATATAAACGGGATTTACGTGCAGCAGTGTACATGGGTCTACGTGACTTTGTCTTATTTGCATGACCAATTCCTCGTTATCAGCAGATTCAGCACTGTAACTGTTACTAATTTTTTTTTAATTTAATTATTATCCCTCGGCATTAGGGCCATTCATCATCACTGGTATTGTTTTCTTCTGCGGATTTTTTTTTTTTATTTTTACAATTATTTCCCTGTCCTTTTTGTCATTCTGTTTATTTACTTTAAAGAACTGACGGCAGAAATGGTGATTGATTATTGAATAACTATAGACATGGTGAGGCTATTCTGGCCATTTTTATAAGAAATAATTGTATAATATAAGCTCTATGACAAGTGAGCAATCACGAAGATATCCTAAATTAAGGATTTCTTCAATGACTTAACATTCGTATTATTAATTAAAGGCATTGAAATTTGGACGTGACAATATTGAACCTTGTACGTGAAGACCCATAGTAGGTGAGAGCTTCACAGTCACAGCTCAAATCTTTTTCTTCAAATCAGAAGCTTAAATTCCAACATTTCTTGTTCATGGTGAGTAAGAAAAGCTCTTTTCCCTATTAAGAGAGTCTCCCAAGTTATCATTATCTAATACAAAATAATTGATATATGAAATACATCAAAACCTAAGCGGAAGAATTTGTTTTCTCTCCATGCAAGTAAGCTACTGATTAGCTCCTAGAAGCTTTTCAATATTCAGGGTCGTCTTTCCTGTTACTTTGGAAAGAAAAAATTGATTGATTTCGCTAGGGTTTGTCTGGAATTCCCAAGAGCTCCAACCTCTCCCTATTTTTGCATTTCTGTTTACTGTGTGTATAGAAGATGCTCTTCATCGCTTTTGTTTAGTTTTTGGGATATTATTGTGTTGATGTCAATTTGTTTTAGTACAGAACCAACATAATCAGAAGGGGAAGAAACAAATCGAAGAGGGGGAAGAAATGGAAGGAGATAGAAAGGACGAAACTCTGCCACCAGGGTTTCGGTTTCATCCTTCAGATGAAGAACTCATCACTTACTATCTTGTAAACAAGATATCAGACGCTAATTTTACAGGAAGAGCAATTGCTGATGTTGATCTCAACAAATGCGAGCCTTGGGATCTGCCAGGTTGTTGTAACATGCTAAAACCTAATTTCTCTCTACATAAATTAGCATCAGCATCAGTATAATATATGATTTTGAGCTATTTTATCGAATCACATATATTTTTAAAATATTCTCCACTTTTGATGATCACATGTAGAATCGAACTACGTTCACACATGGGATACCATTTTTTTTTTTTTTTCCTTAACTTCATTATTTCTGATCAAAATTAATTTCAGATGAATGATTTTTTTGTTCTTAATGTACTTGTTGACGTGAATCAGGAAAGGCGAAAATGGGAGAAAAGGAGTGGTATTTCTTTAGTCTTCGAGATCGAAAATACCCAACAGGTGTAAGAACAAACCGAGCGACCAACACTGGTTACTGGAAGACCACAGGAAAAGACAAGGAGATATTCAATAGTGTGACTTCAGAGTTAGTTGGGATGAAGAAAACATTGGTTTTCTATAAAGGGAGAGCTCCCAGAGGAGAGAAAACCAACTGGGTTATGCATGAATATCGCATCCACTCCAAATCAGCTTTCAGAACTAGTAAGGTACGTAATTATTTATCAACATCCTCACCGTTGGTTCCTTCTATTAAAATCGGAAACTTATATCATAGTATTTCTGGTTAGTTGCTCATATGCTGGTCTTATCTTCCAGCTCAATTGGCAACGCACACTTTATATATACATATATATCTGCCTATTTGCAGTCTGTGAACTTTATATAGATTATTATGTTTCAGCCATGTCTGTGAACTTCCTCATTTCATGGTATGGAGCATGATTTTTATCTTAATCATTTATTAATTGTTTACTGCGAGTCTAATGTCGATCAGAAGCGACTTTTCTCGGGAATTTTACACATGCACGCGCATATATTTGTGATGTGAATTTGTCCATGTGCTTTGATTATTGACGTGAAGAAACATTCACTAGACGTTTGAGGAATTTCTCTTGTTGTAGTTAAAAGTTTCTTAGTTGAAAACTCAGAAAAGAATGAATATTTTACATATTATTGGCGAGAATTTGTCCATGTGCTTTGATTTCAAACTCGATCACTGAATTCCTTATATGTTTCTTTAGCTTTTAACATAAGTTTTCAGACTCATTACATCACACGTACTTTGGTGCTTTCTTGCAGCTTCATCAAATGTTATTATATTAACAAACATATATATAATCCATTGAAATAGCAAAAGCATCACCAGTTTCAACAGAAATAGGTCTTGACAAAATTGATCTTATTTTTTTGTTTTGTTTTAATTTGTCGAAGAAAAACTTCTAGTTAATCCAAATAATATTAATAGTCTCTTAAAAGTAGAAGTAATCTGACGTTTCTAGTAAATGACAGGATGAATGGGTAGTTTGCCGAGTGTTTCAGAAGAGTGCAGGTGTGAAAAAATTCCCCACGACCCAAACCAGAGCAGTAAATCCGGTGTACAACTTCGATATAGGAGCAAATGTAATGCCTTCACAAATGATGCAAGCGGCGGCCGAGAACTATCACTTTCCCGTTGGAAGAAACTATATGGGAAACCCTGATCAACTAGCAGAGTTCACAAGGATGTTAAGAGGAGGTCCGTCAACCAGTGTTAATCTACCATTTCAATCCCAAATGAACTACCCATTGGCCGGTGGTGGTGGAGGAGGAGGAGGGGGAGGCGGCTTCACAATCTCAGGACTAAATTTAAATCTCGGAGGTGGAGGGGCCACAACACAACCTGTATTGCGACCTATGCAACCTCCTCCTCAACAAGATGTTTCTTCTTCCATGAACATGATGACAACTAGTACTGGTTTTTGTGCAGAGACAGCAGCAGGCTATGCAACAGACCAAATCCATAATCCTAATGGAGGTGGAAACAGATACATGAGCATGGATCATTGCATGGATTTAGATAACTACTGGCCTCCTTACTAAGAGTAAGGAGATGAAGAGAATAATCAAATATCACTTGAGTAAACCTAGATTAAGAATTAGATAAGTCTGTTCATGTAGTATAACTTTTAAGTTTGTTTTACTCCATAGTTAATTTTCTTCTGTTTCCCTTTCACGTAGGAAATTACTGTGTAAGTGGGTGAAGTACCCTACCCAGAGACATTTAAATCTTTTTGGTTAGTAACAGATTGAAATCACTGCCCTTCATCTACTCAAGTATCTGAAATTATTTTACTATTTCTATTTCCCGTCTCATTGTCTTTGTTAATATTGTGATTTGTGAATGGTTAAAAAGAAGATATGTATTTAGTACCTTTTGGTCCTCACTGAGGCCACCAATGTCAGGGGATCTTGGGACATTAGTCGAGAGTCTTTGCTGATCGTCAGCTTCGGGCAAGACATAAACAGTCACCAGTTTTAAATCTTATTTTCCAAATCTCACGAGTCTGTACCCCTGTCTTGATAATTTCTTATGTGTCATTGGGGCCAGAAAGGGTTAAATCTTATTTTCCAAATCTTTCATGACTCTCTCTGTACCTCTTTTCTTACAGAAAGCTTAGGGTCAACACACTTTTTGGTGTTCTACTTCTCAACGTTCACTTGATGGTTGGCAACCAAACCAACATAATTGAGAACATGTACTCTCATCCAATGTTTTAAAACCTAACCCCCGTTGAAACCCGGCGAAGTTGTCGGATCCAGGTTGACCGGTTTAACCTACTGTCAAATTGGTTGATAAAAACTTTTAAAATTCAATAAATACACCCCTAAAAATTACATCAAGTCCCTATAAGTTTGAAATTTAGCAGACACACCCCAAATACAAATCGACCGACGACTGGTTGGTGACAGCGCATCACAAATGCAACTCTAATCGTCCCTTGAGATCATTACCCTTAAAATATACCCAAGATCTGGCCGAAATAGGTTTGATTTTGGCTAGATCCCATCAACGTTGGCATCAACATTCTAGGCCAGATCTCATCGACGCTGACGTCGACAACCCTCTCTATTACTCAAAAATTACTTCCCTCTTCCTCCCAACCAAAACCCACCTCACCCCACCCCAGTTAGCCTCGCCAAGCGCCAGCAAAAGTCAACTGTTGCTACTGCCAGTTTTATTTGATTTTCGATTGATTTACTCACAGGAAATCAACTCCCTCACCACCATTGCATTCACCGACACTTTATCTTTAAAAGCCCCAACATCCCGACCATCAATTGTTCACCGATCATCCTCCCAAATCCTAGGGTTTTGAGTGAATAAGAAAAACATAAACTGAGCCCGTTGAAGCTTCCGAGTCTCCATTGAACCGGCCAGGCCGGGCCAAATCTTTAAACATTGCTGTCATCTAACCCTTGCCAATTACCATCATTCAAGGCCACATTTTCTCACATTTTATCTTCGTAAGTTCAAACTTATGCAGCACAATCGAGTTCATAGAAAATAGTTTGCGTATCCCTTTAATAATTTGACTTCCAAATATATTAACATGCCTAATCCTTGTGTATTAAAAACAAGGATTCTAAGGGAGAATGTAAAGTCAAAATGTTTTGATTAACTAGAAACAGCGCAAATATGAGAAATCACTGCATAAATCCATTCTTTCTGTAAATCTAGGACGGACAGAAAAATCCAATAAACAGAAGTTGAGGCTTTGAGAGACATTTAGACTCTAAACCAGAGAATAAAAAAATAGGTTACACCTCTTACAACATAAATAACAGACGCTGCCCATCATACAGTGAATCCTATGACTTATCAGCATGACTAACTGTGAAGTGTGAAAGTCTATAAACTTCTTTTCACAAAGATCGAAATATAAGAAAGATGCTGGAGCTTCAAAAAAACATCTGAACTAGTTAACAAGGATGAAACTTCACAACCCCCAGAAGCCCATATGAAATGCGCCAAAACCCATCTGCAAGAAATTCACTAAAACAGTTAGCAGGGTGATACTGCATATAACATCCAATCAAGATATAGAAAAACAAGCAAAAATATTATTCAGAAGCCATAGGACTTCTAGCCCTGGGTATTGGAACCACTTCCCGCTAGTCTATTGTAGTATTCATAACTAGTCAACTACAAGCTGATAGATAGAAGAGCCTAGCTAAGGATTTCCACATTCACATTCCACTCAATTGACAGAAGGTCAATTTAACAGGGATCAAAATCTATAGATCTTCCAGAAACCAAATCTAACGATCCATTCAAATTCTGTGGAGGAAAGAATTGTCACTTCTTCCTTACCTCCCTCCTAACCTGGGGAGAAAGAAGGCATTGCAACTTTCAACTCCATCCATTAAAGTTACAGCAGTTACGTCTATATAAGCAAGGTGATTATGATGGTAATTTTTATCTCACTTTATAAGGACATCCTCACTTACAAATTGACTCTACAATCACAGGCCACTATAAAATATCCTCTAATTAAATATCGTTATAAGGACTAAAGTAGCTATTATTCAAGGAAAAATCTAATTAGTAACTATCTCCATTTTTAAGAATGATATAATAACATAATGAAGCATACCCAAGTGATTCCCTACAAGAGAATGGACCAGTGGACAACCTTGTGGCACTCTACTTGTCTGAATGCCCGCGTTTACCCTTACGACGAGAGTGATTAGCATGTCGAACTGGTCTCCTTGCTTTTTTGCTGTAGAGATCAGGTAAATTAAAATCTAACACAAACAGAACTTCTGAAAAAAATAAAACTAATCTTGAAATATGCAGTAAGATTGTAATAAACCTTTTTGACAAATGAATCTAAAATTTTCACAGAACTGAATAGTTACTTTGATACTTACCAGAAAACAGCTGAAAAAATTCTAAACAAAATGATGATAGGTAGAGCCAACAATGCAGATGCCTACAACAATTGCATTACAAGTAAGATTGTCATGTACTGTAACCAACGTACAAATCATAATATTTTCTTAGCAATTACTCAATGGTTAAGGTAATTAAAACCAAAAAGTGTTTTTTTTTTTTTTTTTTTAAGGAAACAAGTAATAGTGTATTAATAAAAAGGAAGAATGCCACATACCGCAAACCATTCAAACTCTTTAGTTGCAAGAGGTCTTGTCAGTTCATGTTTTTTCAATGTTTCTTGCACAGAGGCTTGAACCTTCAAAAAAATTGAAACATCATTTAAGCACATAACAATAATGGAGTCAAGTTATAAGGATTGCTTTTACATATTCTAGTATAAGCTTAAAGAATTTAAATGACAGAAATAGAAGTGAAAAGAAAGATGTTCATCTGAAAACATTTCATTGCTTTTACTAATTGGAGTCCTGGTAATCATTTTCAGTGGAAATAAGGAGTTACTATGTAAGGCTTTTGTACAAAGGATCATAAACATATGCCATGTTTCCCACAAAAACTCATGAAAAAGGGTTCAAGGAAAGAATTTGTAGAAGGGGAGAAATTACACATAATAATAGTAACAGATTTTAATACCTGATGATGGTATGTGGTTGCAGATTTTAGAAACTTCCCATAAGCATGAACAATCTTCTTGGTGTAGGGTTTCAGTACTAGTCTTACACTATCAACATGAGGCTTGGCCACAGTGGCAACCTGATCAATATAGGGCTTGCTGAACTTCTTAGTTTCCTGTTACAGATTAAAGTGTGCTTTAGAAAGCAAGCTCACATAGCAAATAAACAGGAAGGTGAAATTTACAAATATACCTGAAAATAAGGGTCAACAATCTCTTGAACTCTCACAACATGTGGAGTTATCGCAGTCTTTGATGCCTCGTAGGCTTCAATTGTTTTTGTCTTCAATGATTGCACATGTGGTTCGACATTTGTTGTAAAAACCAGCCACTGTTCCTTTAAAGCCGGCAACCATTTCTTCAAAAGACAACAGAGAATCCATGTCATCAGATATGCAGGCAATCAATCATAACTCACACAGGATAGTATTTAATGTAACATTTCAAAAGATAAATAGTAAATCACCAAGCACCAAAGATCCATCATGTCTTTTAAGCACATATTATCCCATTACAATAATAAGACAGAAAGCATAATTAAGCAGCCAACTTAGAAATATGTACTTTGCGCGCACAGACACACACACATTCCTGTTCCAGAATTAACCCACTGCCACTCTGCCAGTGAAGGCTAAAAAGAAAAATAAATAAATAAATAAAACGAAAGAGAATGAGAAAGAAATAACAATTAAGAACGTCAGAACAAGTGCCTTTAGATATGAGTAAAATATCACGATATTAGAAGAGTATGAAAAGAGAACTTACAGTTTTAACGATTTCCAAACGAGGTTCAGCCCACTTTTCAGCTTGGGACTTCTTTTCAAGGGCCTAGAACAAATTTAAACACCTGTTTTAGTGGTAAGATCATGGCATGCCAAACAATAATAAAGTTAATAAACCTACAATCTAAACTGTAACAGAATTAACAACATGATCAAGCACATAGCATTATCCAACCAATAAAATGAGGAATGGTAACCGAAAGATAATACCTTCAGAATCACTACCTTTGTATATTTTCTCACTGATAGTATATTTTGATCTATGTTTCATATAACATAAAATAAAATAAGAAAAAAAGAAGGAAGATAATACCTTTTGAATCGCAATATCCATGGCAGGTTTTCCATGCTCATTCCAATGAGTTGCAATTAAGGACTGCAAAATGTTAATAAGCCATAATTATGAGGAGAACTGTTAGTATAAAAGGAGTAGTGACCACACATTGCATTAATTTTACCTGACAATGAAATAAATGTACAGCAAGCCACGGTGGAAGCCATGCACCATGAACCTGATGAAAAAGCCAAAATATGCATTAGCCCCAAACCTAGTCTCATCAATCTACTCAATAATTTATCAGAAAAAGAAAAGTCTATAATGCACCTATTGCAACTGCAACTACAATAGGATAAAATCACATACACTACTACCTAAAATCTAAGCCACATTAAGCGCAATTTTCAAATTAGCCAAAATAGGTATATTTTACCATATCTCAGAAGCATTAACACAGTAAATAAATGAAAAAAATATTCAACTGCACAGAGCATAATGTGCAAGCTCGGTAATCCATTGAACTTTCAGTAATAGTTTTGAGCAAATAACATGATATATGAGGAAAGATTATCACCTCAGTCAGCTCTTTAGCTTTTGAATTGACCTCAGACTTTGCCTTCATCATTTCTTCCTATAAAGAGAGAAAGAAAAAAAAAAAAAAAGAGAGAGAGAGAGAAAGAACAAAATGCACATGAGAAACATCTTCTGCGATTAAACATAAACTATAAACTTTGGCAACTTAGTAAGATACCTCAGCAACTTTAAGAGCACGTTCAGTTTTACGAATTTTGCTCTTCTGTTCATCATTAATCTTTTGAAGCTGTCAAAGGAAGACATCGTCCAGAATCAATATATCACAGACATAACTTAATATTAGGTCAAACTCAAGACGCAAGAAAACTATCCTAAAACTAGTAATAGAAGTAAAAGATAACTTGTGGCAGAAAAAGAAAAATGATACACATAGTTACTGGAGGTAAAATTGACAATCCATGTGCCAACTAAGCAATATTTGTGTCCCATAATCTGAGATTGATTAACATCTATTGGATTGGACATATGAACATACTGATGTTTACCAAGACTTATAGCACACAATTCCCTATGAAAACTGTGTATGCAGTCTGTACTGTCAATAAACACCAATGAAAAAGGATATCACTTTTCATAATGTTGCAATAGAAACATTGAACAAAAACAAACTGGATACTTATGCAAAAACTCAGCCAAACAGAAAACTTACTTCATCCAATTTAGTTCTCAATTCGCTTATCTTCTTCTCAGCCTCCTTCGCCCGGGCTTCCTTGGCTTCTTTCTCCTTATGTTGTCTCTCTAACTCCTTCTTGAGCTTATCAACCTGCTTCTCAAGTTCACCAACCCGTGCACGAGCCTTTCCCACCTCTTCTGCAGCATTCAATGTCTCTTTTTTCTAAGAAAAAAACAAAACAAGTGTAAGCTTAATTATACCTATCTGAACTGTATAAAACTCCTCCCACCAATACATGCATGCATATTCTTCAATTTACACACACCTGAAGCAATGCCAATTCTTTCTGTAAGGACAAAATGTTATCTGATTTCTCCTGAATAAGCTTCTCCTTCAGTGATAATGTCTCATCCTTGCTTTTCAATTCTCGGGCTTTCTCATCAACAAGAGATTCTACATTAAAACAAGAAGTGAGCAGAACCATTCCAGTAAACAAAATCAGACACAATTATAAACTTCCTTGACATTCCAACCAAAAACATTCTTTTCAAAGTGAATTTCTAAATCGGGCATGTAACATAAACAGTCCACGGTGAACTAAAAAGAGCTCTTTGATAGTGATATCAAACAGTTATCATTCACATGCACACACGATCATTTCATTTCTCACTCAAATTCAACGCAGCAATTCGATTTAATAAACTTAAATTAATTGAAATTAAGTTAACAAGTATAGATTTAAGCGTCGATGATCCCTATAAAATCCAAAACCTAATTCAAAGTTCGTATTCTAACACTACACACAAAATGAAACGTTTAAATAAAAAAATAAAAAAAAATAAAAAAAATCTAACCAAGGGAATGGATCTTAGACTTGAGTTTGTCCAATTCAATCTTGAGAGCGGAGGAATCGACGCCGTTGGATCCGGTGACCTCTCCTTCGACGGAAACATCAGCCCCAATTACCATAAAAACTAGGGCAAGAAACAGGGATACAATCGCGAGCTTCGAAGGCGCCATCAATTATTGAAAGTTAGCCACCACCAAAACTCGCAGCGCAAAACAAATTGTCTTGAGTTCCAGGCTTCGGTCGGATGCTCTTATAATTATTCAGAATAACTTCAACAATGAAATTGAAAGATTATGTAATAAACGTGTTAATTATTAAATACCACAAACAACACAAATTTGAATCAGATTTATAAATAATAATTAATAATTCGTGATCGTTGTGTTCAGGTGGTTGTGCTGACCGGCACGTGCCTAGTGATTTTTAATTTTTTATAAGAAGGAAGGATTTTTGAGGGATCTTGACACGTGGCTATTGTTTTATAAAACGGTACACGAAACAAGGTAGTTGGATGGGAGACCGATGGGCTAGGCCATAAAGGTAATTGACTGCGGTAAATGTCGGTAATTAATATTTTGTATTTATACATACATATAAATATATATATATGTATAATATTCCCGAGAAAGTTTGATAATTTTCCGGGAATAATTGTTGTCATTATCAGTCTATTCAAATAGATGAGATATGGCCATATGGCGGTACCTCGTTGTGGGATATTTTTATTTCTGCGGTTCAAATAGGTTGTCAGAAAATTCATGTAAAAGTTACTGTTTGTTCATATAAGCATAACTTATGCAGAGTTGTGGTTATAGTTGTAAACTGGTTCGGGCCATCCGGCCCCTTAATTTACTGTAGGCCCAATCAGCCGATTGGACCAAGATCGAGCACGTTAAACTAATGCAACGAGTCCGACTTTATGAATGAAACCATAGGAGGTTGGACCGTTGGAGAGCATTAAAAGAAATTATAAATAGCCGCTCATACGGATCCAAATCCTCCTTCACCAAGTTTCTCACTGAAATTATCAGTTGCCGCCATTAAGTCTTCATAGGAGTATCTCTGAGTCATTCCTGGTACCTAATCTAAATAGCGTTGGTGATGCCAATGATAAGAAGAAGAGCAGAGAATACCTCAAGGCTCGATCCCAATATAAGTATAAGCTCGCTTGTTTTCATTTTGATATGCGTTTGAGGGATCAATTGATGGAGTCAATACACTTAAGGGACGTTTAGTTCAGGATTGTTAGACTATTGAGAATGTTGGATTACTGGAAAGATAGATTACCTTAGCAGATTACTGGGAATCTTTAAAAAAATATATTTGGTTAGTTGGTGGGTATATTATATTAATGGCTCCGTTTGGTTCAAAATTTTGGGTTTTTGGGAAAAGTTTTTTGAAATAAGTTAAAAAAAAGTTGAATTGGACGGGTATTACGATGTAGGAATTACAAATTAATAAAATACTCTCTATGTTTATTTATTTATAAAAACACCCCTATAATAAAACATTAAAATTTAACAAAAACACCCCCAACCAACCCTCAAATATGGACAGCCGGCCACGACCGCCGGAGGTTGGCCGGAGTCATCGTATCGGTGCATGACCGGCTAGATCTTGCCGGTCGTGCCCCGATATGGCCTTTTCCGGCCAGATCCACCGTGGATCTGGCCGAAAAAGGCTAGATCGACTCACTACCGGCCAGATTCAGCCGGTAGTGTGCCATCCTAATAGATTTCGGCCATTTTTTGGTAGTGGTGGCCGGAATCTGGTAAATGTGGATTACTGGGGTGTTTTTGTAATTTTTTAAAAATATTTAGGGGTATTTAATTAAATTATCAAATTTAAGGGTTTAAAAAAGTTGAATAATATTGGGAGTAGTATTCCCAAAAATCAGAGTTTTTGGGCATTTTACTATTTAACTTTTTTGGGAATACTAAAAGTAGTATTTTCAAAACTGAAACAAATGAAGCCAATATGTTTGGTTATGAAGAATAAATTGGTGAGTATATTATTTAAATTATTAAATTGTCCCTCTTTCAAATATTAATATAATATTATTTTTATTATTAATATTTGAATAATTTCTTTTAACCCCCAATATTTCAGATTTAGCCATTAACGGCCAGATCTGACCTGATATGGCCGAAAACGGCCATAGCGAAGCCTCCCGGAGCCTCCCTCCAAATCTCGTTCTTTTTTAGGGACTCCGACGAATTTTCGACGGTGGTCCATGGTGGTTGGCCCGCTGTCGGTGGTGGTGGCTGGGTGGCAGTGGTGGTGGTGGCTGGGTGGCAATGGTGGTCTGTAAATTGTTTTAAATATAAGGACATTATTGTCCAAAATTTTAGTTAAACAAGGGTAAAATTGAAATATGAGATTAATGTAAATTTATTTTAAAACGAGGGCATTATTGTCCAAAACTTTTATTAATAGGAGATAAAATTGTAACAAAAAAAGATAACCCTGGTAATCTTAGAATACTTAAGAAAATGGAGGTAATTAGATTACCTTCAATATTATCAATAGTAACTACTATTGGTATTTGAAGATTACCATAATCTTATATTACTTGACAACTAAACGTGGATCAAGTAATATAAGATGACATAACCTCCATTATCTCACATTATCGCCAACCAAACTCTCCCTTAGGGGGCGTTTGGTTCATGATAATGTCAGATTATTGGAGTAATGTCATCTTATATTACTTGATTACCATGTTTGGTTATCGAGTAATATAAAATTTCAGTAATCTTCAAATACCAATAGTAGTTACTATTGGTAATATTGGAGGTAATCTGATTATCTCTATTTTTTTAAGTATTTTGAGATTACCAGGGTTATCATTTTTTGTTACAATTTTTATCCCTTATTAATGAAAATTTTAGACAATAATGCCCTCATTTTAAAATAAATTTACATTAATATCCTATTTTAATTTTACCCTTATTTAACTAAAATTTTGGTCAATAATGTCCTTATATTTAAAACAATTTACAGACCACCACTGCCACCCAGCCACCACCACCACTACCACTCAGCCACCATCATCGACAGCGAGCCAACCACCATGGACCGCCACCGAAAATTCGTCGTAGTCCCTAAAAAAGAACGAAATTNTTTTATATATGGGGGTGTTTAATTAAATTAGCAAACCTAGGGGGTTTTTTAGAAATTTTTAAATTTATAAAAGACAAAAATTGAAACTTTGAAGGGCATTTTAGTCTTTTCACTATTAATAAACAAAAATCACTAACAGAATATGACGGAAGGTACCTATTTGTCGTTTCAAAACCTTTTGGGTATCAACTTGTCATTACAGTAAATTTTGGGTATGTACAAGTCGTTCCCCCTTATACATACATATAAATAATTGTTGTGTCATTATCAATCTATTCAAATGGATGAGATATGGCCATACGGGGGTACCTCGTTGTGGGATATTTTCTAGGTGCGTTTGTCTCTCTATTTTTATCCATATGTTCAATCATATTCTTCAAATATTATCTGATATATTATTTTAGAAATATTATTATATATTTTTTAATTATTTTTAAACTCCTTAGGTTTATTAATTTCATTAAATACCCTATGAAAAAAGTTTAAAAATTAACAAAAATACCCCCATCAACCCATACTTGCCAGATTCTGGTAACCATCGTCGATAGTACCCAGAATTTGTAAAACGGCCTACACCACGACCAAAACTTGTCGATAGTTCACCGATCTGGCCATCAGTGACGGCCAAAGAAATGGCCATTGTTGACTGAAAACGATTGTCATATCTTTGGCCGTCGTTGAAGATCAAAGAAATACTTTTTTGGCATTTTTTAGCCGTCGACGACTACATTTAGCTGTAGATCTGGGCTTTTCCAGCCATATCTATAGTGGATCTGGTCGGAAAAGATCATATCGATGCGTTATGACACAGATCCGATCAATCTGTGTCGTAACGTAATTTTTCGGCCACCGCCGGAATTTGGCACTGCGGATGGTAGGGGTGTTTTTGTCATTTTATATGTTAGGGTGTTTAATTAAATTAGCAAACCTAAGGGTTTTTTTATAAATATTAAAATTTACCTTATAATACTCTCCTATTCAACTGCCCAATATTATTCACAAAATCAAATTCAAAATAATAAAACAACCGACCATATATTTCTGCTGTTTAAATAGGTTGTCAGAAAATTCATGTAGAAGTTTCTGTTAGTTCGTATATGCATAACTTAATGCAGAGTTGTGGTTATAGTTGTAAACTGGTTCGGGCCAACCGGCCCCTTAATTTACTGTAGGCCCAATCAGCCGATTGGACCAAGATCGAGCACGTTAAAACTAATGCAACGAGTCCGACTTTATGAATGAAACCATAGGAGGTTGGACCGTTGGAGAGCATTAAAAGAAATTATAAATAGCCGCTCATACGGGTCCAAATCCTCCATCACCAAGTTTTTCACTGAAATTATGAGTTGCTGCTATTAAGTCTTCATAGGAGTATCACTGAGTCATTCCTGGTACCTAATCTAAATAACGTTGGTGATGCCAATGATAAGAAGAAGAGCAGAGAATACCCCAAGGCTCGATCCCAATATAAGTATAAGCTCGCTTGTTTTCATTTTGATATGCGTTTAAGGGATCAATTGATGGAGTCAATACACTTAGGGGGCGTTTGGTTAAGGACTGTTAGATTATTATGAATGTTGGATTACTGAAAAGATAGATTACCTTAGAAGATTACTGGGAATCTTTAGAAAAATGTGTTTGGTTAATTGGTGGGTATGTTATATTAATATGTTTGGTTATGGGAAATAAATTGGTGGGTATATTATTTAAATTACTAAATTATCCCCCTTTAAATATTAATATAATATTATTTTTATTATTAATTTTTTAATAATTTCTTTTAACCTCTAATATTTCAGATTTAGCCATTAACAGCCAGATCTGCCCTGATATGGCCGTTTTCGGCCATCAATATGGCCGGAAACGGCCATAGCGAAGCCTCCCGGAGCCTCCCACCGAATCTCGTTCTTTTTTAGAGACTTTGACGAATTTTCGACGGCGGTTCGTGGTGGTTGGCCCGCTGTCGACGGTGGTAGCTGAGTGGTAGCTGGGTGGCAGTGGTGATCTGTAAATTGTTTTAAATATAAGGACATTATTGTCCAAAATTTTAATTAAATAAGGGTAAAATTGAAATAGGATATTAATATAAATTTATTTTAAAACGAGGGCATTATTGTCCAAAACTTTTATTAATAAAGGATAAAATTATAACAAAAAAAAATAACTCTGATAATCTTAGAGTACCTAAGAAAATGGAGGTAATC